TGGGTCATATGGTAACTCAATTTCCAATTGTTTGAGAAATCGCCAAATCAATTTCCATAGTGGCTGTACATACCCACAGGTCCACCGGCAGTGAATGAGAGTTCCTGTTTCACCGTAGTCCCTCCAACACTTGTTGCTTTCTGATTTTTTGAATTGGGCTATCTTTGAGGGTATTAGGTTGTATCTCATAGTTGTTTTGATTTGCATTTCTCTTACGGCTAATGATCAGGAACATTCTCTCATATGTTTATTGGCCATTCAGATTTCAGACTCTGTGAAACTTCTGTTCAGGTCCTTTGCCCACCTCCGCGGTAGGCAGTTAGTTTTTCTCTCATTGTAAGCTTGCAGAGTATTGTAGATTTTAGTAATAAGGCCTTTGTCTGATGTCTCATTGTTAAAGATGTTTTCCCAGTCAGTGGACTCTCTTATTACTCTCTTGGTGAATTCTTTCGATGTACACAGGTGTCTTATCTTCAGTATATTCCATTTGTCAATTTGTGACTCCTCTGTATTTGTATCCTTCCCTATTTCTGATAGAAGCTGTACATTTTTATAGAAACAGAAATCCTGATCTTTTTTATTAAATACTTTTATTGGGGGCTCTTACATCTCTTATCACAATCCATGCATTCATCCAGTGTGTCAAGCACATGTGCACATATGCGACCATCATCATTTTCAAAGCACAGAAAGCCTCATCTTTCTCCTTCGGAGTGCCCAGGGGTTTAGAAATGCTGACGTCCCACCCCAGTGTGCCACCAGGTCTCCTGGAGTGGCTCTTTCCCTGGTCTGGCAGAGATTCCCCAAAGGAATGTGCTGGTCAGTACTCCCAAGGAACCCGCGTGAGCTCTTCTGACTTGCTCCATGCAGCTCTCTCCTCCTTGGTACTCTGCCCTCCCAACTCTTGCTGCAGTGACCTCCCTAGATTACCAACTTCTTTTCTGAAGGTCTGCAGACTTAAGTTCCAAAGTTCCAGAAGTCCCACTCCCTGCCTTCTTGCTTGAAAACTGCTGTCATGATAAGATTGACTCCTTTAAAAAATTATTAAAAGATTGACTCCTTTAAAAAATTATTAAAAGATCATTTTATTGGAGGTTCTTACAACTCTTATAGCAAGCTATACATCAATTGTATCAAGCATATTTGTGCATATGTTGTCAT